TGGACCATGGGGACCTGGCCTCCCAGGAGACAGCGGGTAAGAAGCCTGGGGCCCATCCTTCGCCTCTTCCATCGCCTGTGCGGTTCCGTCTGTCCCCGCTGCCCTGGGCCTCCAGTGGAGGGGACAGCGTGGGGGGGACACAGGTGGTAGTGGGGGACAGAGATGGGGGGAGGCAGGGGTGGGGCTGGGAGAGGTAGGGGTGTGGCCGTGGGGAGGACACAACTGGGTAGGGAGGACTGGGGGTCTGGGACCAAGACGGGACCATGAGAATAGAAATGAGGCCTGGGGGCACAGAAATGGGTTCACGGGGGGGGTTTGGGGGTGCTAGGGGCAGTGATCTAAAGCTGGGGAGACGAGAGCACAATGAAGGGGGACAGGTGGGTGAGATGGCACCCTGGGCAGGAATGGCCTGGGTCTGCCCAGAGTTGGGGTTCCCCGTGGGCTGAGATGCTGGGTTGCATACAGAAATTGATGCGGAGTAAAGCATCCCAGGCCCCCAACTGTATTCCTAGCACCTCGGGAGTCTGAGATCTGAGATCACAGTTCAAAGCCCCTCTCCCCCCCACAGATGGATGTATGAGATTCCTTTCTGTGTGTGTCTGCCCTGGAGTTTGAAATCAGGGCCTGGCCACTGTCCCTGAGCTGCTTGTGCTCAAGGCTAGCGCTCTACCACTTGAGCCACAGCGCCACTTCCAGCTTTTTCTGCTTATGTGGTGCTGAGGAATCCAACCCAGGGTTTTGTGCTTGCTTGGCAGGCACTCTACCACTGAGCCACCTTCCCAGCCTATTTCTAGCTTTTTCTGAGAAGTTGATTGGAGATAAGAGCCTCGCAGCCAGGTACTGGTGGCTCACACCTGTCATCCTCGCTCCTCAGGAGGCTGGGGTCTGAAGATCAAGGTTCAAAGCTAGTCCCGGCAGGAAAGTCCGTGAGACTCTTATCTCCAGTGAACCACACAAAAACCAGAAACTTGCCTTGAGCACAAAGAGGCTCAGGGACAGTGTCCAGGCCCTGAATTCAAGCCCCACAGACAGAAAGAAAAGAACCTCACAGGTTCTTCTGGCCAGTCTGGCTTCGAAATGCAACCTCAGGCTCCCCGGCAGCAAGGGTTACCAGCACCTGGCATAGGTGAGCTTTTCTTTCTTTTTTCCAGATATAAGGCTTGGACTCAGAGCCTGGGTGTTGACCCCTAAGCTCTTTTGCTCAAGGCAAGCACTCTATCACTTGAGCCATGGCACCACTCTTGGTTTTCTGTTGATTAATTGATGATAGAATCTTATAGACTTTATTACCTGGGCTGGATTTGAACCTCAGTCCTCATATCTCAGCGTCCTGAGTAGCTAGGATGACAGGCATGAGCCACCAGCACTTAGCATATGTGACTCATCTCCAATGAACAAGTGTAGCTTCAGAGCTAGAGCCTAGGGCTAGGAAGGTGGCTCAGTGGTAGAGCACTTGCCTTGCATGCTCAAGGCCCTGGGTTCGATTCCTCAGCACCACATAAGAAATAAGAAAAAAGGCTGGGAAGGTGGCTCAGTGGTAGAGCGCTTGCCTTGCATGCTCAAGGCCCTGGGTTCGATTCCTCAGCACCACAGAAAAAAGCCAGAAGTGGCGCTGTGGCGCAAGTGGTAGAGTGCTAGCCTTGAGCTGAAGAGCTGAGGGACAGCGCCCAGGCCGAGTTCAGGCCCCACGACTGGATCCAAAAAAAAAAAAAAAACGGAGGTCGAGCCTAGCCTTGAGCAGAAGCCAGGGCCTGAGTTCCCAGCACCCGCACACCAGGAGCCAAGGATAGGTCGGGTGGAAGGGGAGGGTCACCTGGAGACACTGGGGGACAGTGCCCCCCTTCCATGAGCCCCCTGTGGTGGTGCTGGGTCCACAAGGTGGATTCTGTCCCCCCACCGCCCTCCTCCCCCTCCCCCTCCCCTCCTGCT